AAGTAGCGAGGACTACAGACACCTGCCACAACGCCCGGCTATTTTGTTGTTGTTGTTACAGTTGTCATTGTTGTTCTGGCTGGCCTAGGCTGGGTTCGAATCCAGCAGCCTCAGTGTATGTGGCTGGCGCCCTTACCCACTGAGCTATAGGCACCACTGGTATCTTGATTTTTGAATTTTGGTTTTGTTATTGAATGTGTGTCCTTTGAACAAGACTCTACCTTTTATGAACCTTGATTTACTAATTGGTGAGATAGTTCATGGGTATATTGCAAGCAAATATTTATGACATAAAATAAATTAGTCACCTTTGGAGTAGCTTTCAGTAAATGCCATTTGAAAGAATTAGAAGTGTTTTCTCTATAATATTGTATTACTGGAGGAGATTAGATAGCTCTGGATTTATTGAGTCAAACCTTTATCATAACATATTGCTCAACATACTTTGATCTACAAAGAATAATGTCCCTAGGTGATGAAATAGAACATTAAAATCTATTTACGTAAGTGGTTCTGAAACTCTAGTTGACATCACAGCCACTTGACAGTTAAAAATGTGCACATGTGCAAACCCATTCTGATTCAGTAGATCTGGAGTGTGGCCTATTAATTCTTATTTATAAATGTAAGTTTAAAGAACCTGATCAATATTCCTGATTCCCAGCCCTTGATTTATATCCCAGTGCTCCTCGGCATGTCCTTTTGGCTGTCTCCCAGGCATTGCAAAGGTATCATGTCTAAAAGCTTCTGAATTGCCCACTAAACCCCCCTATCTTACCACCTCACAAAACTTCTTTTCTCACTCTGTTATTTTAGTTAATGACTCTGTTTTGTATCTGGTTGCTCATACGCATACCATTCCTGTCCCCTCTCCTTATGAGCAAAACTTACCAATTCTGCTCTCAGAATGTTTCCAATTTCCGATGTTCCTTTCCACTTCCTAGTCCATGTGTTTTTTGTTCGTGCTACTACCTAAGGCTTCTTACTGGTCTTTGTCTTATTCATGCCCCTTTACAATTCTTTGTCCACAGAGTAAAAGACATAGATCACAGGTCATTCCTCCTTTTCCTCCTTTTTAATATCTGTTAATGATTTTCTTTTGCACTTTTAGAGTAGAATCCAGTAATCCTTACCTTTGCGTCATCAGAGCCAATTCTGCCTTTGTTTACAGTTTGAGCAGTGTCCCCCTATACTGCAGTCACACTGGCCTTTCTCTTACCTCAGCCTTCCTGCTGTCTGGCCTTTGCACATGCTGTGTCTTCTGAAAGGGTGCTTTCCTTTCTGTCCTTTGCAAGGCTGGCTGCTGCTGCTGCTTTAGGGTTGGGCTTAAATGTTATCTCCTCACAGACGCCTACCCTAATAACCATAAATGTGTTCCCTCTCTTTTTTTCTGTCATTGCATCCGGTAACTTTCTTCATAGCACTTACCACAAACATACATTCATATCTTTGTTTATTTGTCTGCATTCTCTAATGCCCCCCCCCCATACCTAATGAGATCCATGAGGGCAGGGGTATATATTCAGTGTCTGCTTTACTGTTTGACTCTTATTAGGCCCCAAATAAACACTTATTGAATGAATTT